GGTGGCGGCGGCCTTGAACAAGTGAGTTTTGAAGTCCCCTCCACTGGGCCGGAAGCCGGCGACCCGCGGGGACCTCCGAGAGCCCGAGGGGCAACGGTGAGGCGCGATCGGTGAGTGTGAGCCGGGGACAGCCGGTGCCCCGCCCCTCCCTTTCTTCCTGGACCGCGCCTTGGGCGCCTCCCCCACCCGCCCCTGCGTTCACCGTACCTGATCCCTGAGCTCCGAGTCCCGGCGTGGACACCTCTCACGTGCAGCCACCCTCCTTTGCCTCCTACTCGGCCTCCATCGGCTTAGGGAACTTGGAAATTTCCTGGTCCTGCTCCCCAGCCTCAGAGGGGAAACTGAGGTCCTGGTGGGCGGGCCTCGCCTCACCAGTGTTTTCACGCAGGCGCCATGGCCGAGCCCCTGAAAGAGGAAGACGGCGAGGACGGCTCTGGGGAGCCCCCCGGGCCAGTGAAGGCGGAACCGGCCAACACCGCTGCCTCTGTAGCGGCCAAGAACCTGGCCCTGCTGAAAGCTCGCTCCTTGGATGTGACCTTTGACGTGGGGGACGAGTACGAGATCATCGAGACCATAGGCAACGGGGCCTACGGGGTGGTGTCCTCCGCGCGCCGGCGCCTCACCGGTAAGCTTCCCTAGGTGTACTGTTCTCAGATGTGGAAACCACTTCCCCAGAGCGAGAAAGCTGCCCCATCCCAGACAGCCAGGAAGGAAAGCTGGGATGCAGATTCTGGTTTAAGTCAAACATCAGTTAGGTGCCATCTGGGTGCCAGGCTCTGTGTTGGGCACAGGTCTCAGAGACTCTGCCATGATGGTTTTGCCAGCTCATCAGCCGACATCCTCCTCAGAAAAATGACAGTCCCGATTGGACCAGGTTGGAGATCCTGTGCTGGGTAGAGGTAGGGAGGTAGAAAGAGCACAGGCATTATGGAGTCTAGACGACCACTAACTAGCTATGCAACTCCAATAAGTTACTGAGATGAGATTTCCTCATCTGTAACTTTGAGCTACTAGTAACTGTCTCAGGAGATGGATGAGAAGGGACAACCTGATCATGTATGTAAAGTGCTTAGCACAGAGGGCTTGTACCAGTAGGTGCTCAGTATACAGTTATAACAGCTGCTGTTATTCAGTATGTGGCTGCCCCTTTGGTCGCTCCTGCCCCCAGCCCCCACCCCTGCACCAGCCCCTCTGCGGGCGCAGCCTGTGGCCAAGTGCAAGCTGTTGTTATTTGCATCCTGGATGGGAGGTGTTGAAGGCGGCCTTGTGCCACTGCAGCTGCCCAGGTACCTTACAGTACCTGCCTTCCTCTGCTCCCAGGCCAGCAGGTGGCCATTAAGAAGATCCCTAATGCTTTTGATGTGGTGACTAATGCCAAGCGGACCCTCAGGGAGCTGAAGATCCTCAAACACTTCAAGCATGACAACATCATCGCCATCAAGGACATCCTGAGGCCCACTGTGCCCTACGGCGAGTTCAAATCTGTGTAAGGAGGGGTGTTGGGAGAGGAGGCTGGATGGGGATGTTTTCTGAAGGCTGGACAGGATTGCCACAGTTCTGGAAGGACAGCTGGAAAATTCCCACAGTTCCAGGACCAGTGTTCCCTTAGGGCAGTGGTCGGCAAACTATGGCTCTCGAGCCAGAGGTTTGTCATTCTGTTGACTAATGAGTTTGCCAACCACTGCCTTAGGGCATTCTCAGGGACAACTGTGATTCCTCAGGAAAGGTACAGGTGCTACAGTTTTATAGACTCAGTATACGGGATGGCAAATAACCACACTCTCCTTTTCCCACAGCAGACATCACTAGTCAATCACAGAACACTTTCCTATAGAAAATGGACAAGGTACCACAGTTTTCATCATAGTCTTTCAAGCAGCCACTCCCAAATAATGGAGTTTGCTGCCAAACGAAAACTATTGGCCAGCCCTAGTTTAATCTGACCTCATCTTTTCTCTCATGGAGAAATAGGTCTGGAGAGAAAGGGCTTTAATTCTTTAAGCTCATGGAAAAACTGTAGAGACTCTAGGATCTTTATACCACGCTGTTGGCCCCTACAGAATCTGAGGGTAAGGCCCTTCCATGTCTGGAGTCAGGAGGGCATGGTGAGGTTGGGGCTGGAATGTGGGCAAGACAGCCATGCCTCTTCCCTGTCCCTTCTAGTTACGTGGTGCTGGACCTGATGGAGAGTGACCTGCACCAGATCATCCACTCCTCGCAGCCGCTCACACTGGAGCACGTGCGCTACTTCCTGTACCAGCTGCTACGGGGCCTCAAGTACATGCACTCGGCTCAGGTCATCCACCGTGACCTCAAGCCCTCCAACTTGTTGGTGAACGAGAACTGTGAGCTCAAGATCGGTGACTTTGGCATGGCGCGGGGCCTGTGCACCTCGCCTGCTGAGCATCAGTACTTCATGACCGAATACGTGGCCACGCGCTGGTACCGGGCCCCCGAGCTCATGCTGTCCCTGCATGAGTACACGCAGGCCATTGACCTGTGGTCCGTGGGCTGTATCTTTGGCGAGATGCTGGCCAGGCGCCAGCTCTTCCCAGGCAAAAACTACGTGCACCAGCTGCAGCTGATCATGACAGTGCTGGGTACCCCGTCGCCAGCTGTGATTCAGGCCGTAGGCGCTGAAAGGGTACGGGCATATATCCAGAGTCTGCCACCACGCCAGCCTGTGCCCTGGGAGACAGTGTACCCCGGTGCTGACCGCCAGGCCCTCTCGCTGCTGGGGCGAATGCTGCGTTTTGAGCCCAGTGCCCGCATGTCGGCAGCTGCTGCGCTGCGCCACCCCTTTCTGGCCAAGTACCATGACCCCGATGATGAGCCTGACTGTGCCCCACCCTTTGACTTCGCCTTTGACCGGGAAGCCCTCACCCGGGAGCGGATTAAGGAGGCCATTGTGGCTGAGATTGAGGACTTCCATGCCCGGCGTGAGGGCATCCGCCAGCAGATCCGCTTCCAGCCTTCTCTGCAGCCAGTGGCCAGTGAGCCCAGCTGCCCTGACATTGAGATGCCCAGTTCCTGGGCTCCCAGTGGGGACTGTGCCATGGAGTCGCCTCCGCCAGCTCCACTGCCGTGCCCTGGCCCTGCACCTGACACGATTGACATGGCCCTGCAGCCACCCCCCGCGTTGGCCAGTGAGCCAGCCCCTCCGAAGAGGGAGGGTGCCATCTCAGACAACACCAAAGCCGCCCTCAAAGCTGCCCTGCTCAAGTCCCTGCGGAGCCGGCTCCGAGGTGCCTTCCAGGAGCCGCAGCTGCCTGGGGGAGGGGGCGGCCGGAGAGGGACGCTGGGCTTGCACAGGGCCACAGGCTCTTACGTCCCCCCTGTCTGACTTCCCTGCAGATGGGCCCAGTGCCCCCCCGGAAGCACCTGAGCCCCGGAAGCCAGTGACGGCCCAGGAGCGCCAGCGGGAGCGGGAGGAGAAGCGGCGGCGGAGGCAGGAGCGAGCGAAGGAGCGGGAAAAGCGGCGGCAGGAGCGGGAGCGCAAGGAGCGAGGGACTGGGGCCTCTGGGGGCCCCTCCACTGACCCCCTGGCGGGGCTGGTGCTGAGTGACAATGACCGCAGCCTGCTGGAGCGCTGGACTCGGATGGCCCAGCCCCCAGCCCCCGCCCCCGCCCCGGCCCCTGCTCCAGGAACTACACCGCCAGCCCAGCCCCCCAGTCCTGCTGGCTCTGTAGCCCAGCCCACTGGACCCCCACCGCCACCTGCAGGTGCCACCCCTGGTCCTGCACCACAGCCCGCCTGCCCAGCCCCTGGCCCTGCCCCCCACCCTGCTGGCCCTCCTAGGCCTGGCCCTGGCCCTGCTGCACTCCAGACCACCGCCACCACCTCCGGCCTCCTGGCCCCCCAGGCGCTAGTGCCTCCCCCTGGGATGCCTGGTTCCAGCACCCTGGGTGTTCTGCCTTACTTCCCATCTGGCCCACCCCCTCCAGACCCCAGGGGGGCCCCTCAACCCTCCACCTCAGAGTCACCCGATGTCAACCTGGTGACCCAGCAGCTGTCCAAGTCTCAGGTGAGAGAGGAGCCGGGCCGTGCAGACCCTTGGACCTGGGCCCAGGGAAATGGGGTGGGAGTCTTCGCTGTGGGTGGTGTGTCTCGTTCCATGAAAAGTGAGCAGCAGAGGCTTTGTCTCTGCACGTGTGCCCGGGCTCGTAGGAGGAGCATAATGCTGATGAGCAGGTGGCTGAGAGAGAAATGCGATGCTCCCCAGGAAGGGCCCGGCCTGGAGATGGGCCCCAGCCAGCTCGCAAGGATTGTCGAGGCTGGCACTGGTACCCACGGGCGGGCATCCAGCAGAGTCTTGGGCAGGGCAGTATCAGGTCAGGGGCTCCCTGCAGGCCTCCGTCTGCTCTTGGTGGTGCCTGCGTTGTAACCTGCCAATATGCCCTGCAGGTGGAGGACCCTTTGCCCCCCGCGTTCTCAGGCACTCCAAAGGGCAGCGGGGCTGGTTATGGTGTTGGCTTTGACCTGGAAGAATTCCTAAACCAGTCTTTCGATATGGGTGTGGCGGATGGGCCGCAGGACGGGTGAGTTGTCTGGACTGCACTCTGGAGCAGAGCTGGGTTCCTGGTGCCGGAGGAACGTGCCTGTGGGAGGGAGGGGGGGAGCCAGCCCCGGGATCATCTCTCCCTGCTCCCCTTTCCCTGCAGCCAGACGGACTCCGCCTCACTCTCAGCCTCCCTGCTGGCTGACTGGCTCGAGGGCCACGGCATGAACCCTTCTGACATCGAGTCTCTGCAGCGTGAGATCCAGATGGATTCCCCGATGCTGCTGGCTGACCTGCCTGACCTCCAGGAGCCCTGAGGCCCGCAGCCCGTGCCTGCGTGCCGGGGAAGACCCAGACCCCAGGCCCGGCAGGGGACGCTTGGCTTGGGATCATCCGGAGGTTCCGCTGAGACCACCCCACAGCCTTAAGAAGCCACCTGAGCCACCACCGAGCCATGACAGGATCAGGAAGCCCCTACTCCCCGGGCGATCCTTCTCAGTATTCTATTTTTATTATGTGATTTTATTATTAGTCATTCTCTTTGCCATAAAAATGAGGCCTGTGAAATAGAAGGTTCTCTCTGGCGCTAACTCGGGTGTCTTTGTGGAGTGGAGGGCGGGTGCTGTCAGTGAGGAGAAGGAGCCAGGCCCCGCATTCGGGGGCCAGCAGATGCAGTTGCACGCACAACAGCCACAGCCCACTCGCTCGTCCTGAGGCTGAGACCTCCTCTCCCCTCCTGCCTCCAGCCTGCGACAGCGTCCTGTGCTCCTCCCATGGCCAGACTGCAGCCTGGGCCGGGGCGGACCTCATCTAAGCCTGCCCGGCCTGTGGCTGTTCGGGGTGGGTGGGTGGGGTGGGTGGGGGGTTGTGCAGTAGCTGTGGTGGCCGAACCTCATCTATGCCTGCCCGGCCTGTGGCTGTTCAGGGGGCTGGGTCGTGCAGTAGCCGTGGTGAAATACAGTTTGGGCAGAGCTTTGGAGGCCTGGGGCAGGAAGCAGGGAAGCTAAGGTGACAGATGGGGCAAGGGGCCCGCGGTGCTCACCACTAGAGAAGGTGGAGGGAGGAAGGAAGCGAAGGTGAGACATTTTCTGAGAACAGCCAGGGCGTTGCTAGGGTGTGGTGATGGCGGCCATGCAGGTGGGAAGGAGGCTGGCTAAGGGGAGCACCAGCCTGCCGCCTGGGTTAGCAGCTCGTGGCTGGGGGTTGAGCGGAGGCAGAGGAGGCCTGGGAACTGGCTGGCAGCTTCGCCTCAGGTGGAGGGAAGAGGCCTGGCTCCGGGGATGCCTGGTGTGGCGGGGTGAGCTGGGGCTGGAGCTGTTAAGAAGCAGGGCTAACGGGGAGGGGGTATGGGGGGGGAGGGTGCAGGCCCAGCGGGGGAGCGCTCCTGGAGGCCAGCAGCCAGGAGCGCGGCCTTGGGGCCAGGCCTCGGCTCAGGCCCGGCGTATTTTCATCTCGGTGCGCTTGAGGGAGTAGTAGAAGCCCTTCCACTGGGCCCAGTTGATGCCGTTGGCGTAGGAGAGGTGGGAGCCCCCCAGGTAGAAGCCGTTGAGGTTGGCAAAGTGGCAGCTTCGGAACCAGAAGGCGCCGGAGGAGAGGGCCGCGCAGTTCTGCAGGAAGAGGTCCTGGTCCCGGTCGAAGGTGGAGAACTTCTGGCCGCTGTGGTAAGACAGGGAGTCGCCTGGCGGGAAGAGGGATGGCGTGGAGGCTGAGCTTACGGGAGGGAGCGGCCCTTCCCGAGCCAGAGCTGGGTGCTGAGCTGCAAAGAGAAGCAGCTGCTCCGAGGCGGCGGGCGGGGCTGCTGGGCTGGTTGGAGCCAGCTGTGACCCTTCCTGGCCAGCCCGCCTCCCCCCACTCCCTCTGCCTGCCAGGCGGGTACCTGCACCGCCGTCCTCGAAGCCGGCCACATAGAGGGAGTAGCCGTCCTCCTCGGCGCTGATGGCGTTGGGCGCGATGGAGAAGTCGGCGTACTTGGCATAGGCCGTGTTGTTCTCAAAGTCTTCCAGGTCCACGCGCAGCTCGTACTTCTGCTTCAGCGTGAGGAGGTGCAGGTTCTGCAGCCCTGTGGAGGCAGCAGTCAGCCTGGTGCTGGCCTGGAGGCCCCCCACTTGCCTGGGCCCCGCCTTACCCAGCCAGTACTCCCCGTCGGCGCGGCCGAAGCCCAGCTTGTAGTCATTCCAGCCCCGGAAGAAGCTCACAGAGCCGTTGAATCGCTTCTGGAAAACCTGGAGCGGAGGCGACAGGCCTGAGCTTTCAGGGTCCAGGGGACAGGGGCTCCCCCAGGTCTGGGCCCAGAGGTGCGAAGGTGTTTGTTAAAGACCTAAGCGGGGCCAGAAGCCATGCGCTCTGCACCCCTCGAGCAGCTGCTGAGAGCTGGGAGGAGGGTAGGGCGGCCTCTGACGCCAGGGGAGTCCGTGCTGCCCTGTGATGCTGAAGCAGTTACTTCACTGCCCTGCGCTTCCGTCCTCTAAAAGGAGCCTTCCTCCGAGGCTGTTAGGGGATCACTGCTGACAGCAGCTTACAACCCACACCCTGGGGACAGAGATGGAGAAATCGGGGCTCCCAGAGGCGCAGCCTGTCACGTGCCCGGACCAGAGCTCCTCCCACTCACCGTCCACTTCCCACCCTCCGTGGTCATGTCGCAGAAGACGGGCACCGGCACGCTGGGCCCCTCGGGGTAGATGAGGTACACGCCGTCCGCCTGGTAGCCCTGGCTGTAGATGTCGTCGCAGTCCAGGGGTTGCTGAAGGCAGGACCTCTCCAGAGCTGGGGGCCGGGAGGGGAGGAAGGGGCTGAGGCATAGCTCGCACCGTGCACCCCACAATTTGCCTCTGTCCCTAGGTCTCTCACAAGAAATTGCAAGGGTTCTTAGGGGGTGCTCGAAGGTCATCTCATCCATCTGCCCCGCTTAGAGCAGGAGCCGAGTCCTGAGAGCCGGTGGGCTCCAGACACTGGCTTGCAGCCTCTCCCGCCCGCCCGCCTGTGGGCCCGGCTGCTCACCATCTCCTCGGATCATGGGGGTCTGGGGGGCACAGTGGGGAGTGGAGAGCAGCAGCAGCAGCGGCGGCAGGGCCAGGAGGGTCTGGTGACAGGAAATTGGGATCCTCAGCCAAGTCGTTCCGATGCCAGAGCCCCCTGCTTTCTCTGCACGCCCCCCCCCCGGCCCCCCAACATACCAACCCGCCAGGAACCCGCTCTGGGCCAGCCCTGCGCCCTGGAGACAGCGGGCTGCAGCGAAAGCCCCATGCGGTCCCCGTCCCCTCTCTGGCCAGGGTCCTCCAAACAGGGCTCAGTCCCCACAGGGCCGTACCTTCATGCTGCCAGTTCGGCTCCGAGCGGCTGGGTGTCTGCTGCCCCAGACGGCGACCGCGCCGAGTTATGTGCTGGGCCCCCGCCAGCAGCCGGGCCCGCCCCCTGGAGCCGCAGAGCCCCCTCCCCGCGCCGGGCGCCGGGCGCCGGACCAGCGCCTGCCGGAGCCAGGGGACCACCTGGGTCTCATTAGGCCTGTCTGCTAGACGCCGCGACGTTAACTCTCACTGGCTCAGCCGAAGACCGTTTTCTTTTCTCCCTCCTTCCCAGGTCTGTGTCACCGCTGGGGTGGTGGGTGCGCGGGCTTGGGTTCTGCGGGGGGAGGCCCAGGGGCACAGCTTCAGAGCCCTCGAGTCTGGCCAGGCTGGGGTGGGCTGGAGGCGGCAGGGCCCGCAGGCTCCTGGCAGGGCCGGGGCATTGCTAAGCCATGAGCACGGCTCGCAGGCGTCCAACTGCTGTCTGCTCCAGCCCCAGCTCCAGCCAGGGCCCTCCAGCCCCTTCCTCCCTCCCAGACTCCCCCGGGGCCTGTCTGGCCGGCACAGCACAGGGCCTCCTTTGTCTTCCATGCACTGTCCCCCTTTTCCTCAGACCCTCACTTGGCTCCCATCCAACATCAGACTCCCCTCTAGGCCATCGCACCATTTCCAGCCCCCAAACCACCCCTTCCCTTCTCGCCCCATGTAGCCATCTGTCCGCTGCCAACCGGCCTGAGGACCCGCGCTCCTGGTGTCACTGTGTCTGGCCTCCTGGCCCCCTCCCTGGCGCTCGTCCAGCTTTTTTGGTCTCTGCTCTGTTCCCCCGTTTGTCCCCCCTGCTGCTCTGGAGCCCCTGCAGCTCTGTCCCCCCCTCTGGCCCCCTCCTGCTCTATACCCCCCACCCCGCTGCTCTGTGCCCACCTCTGCTGCTCTGGCCCCCCTGCTGCTGAAAGCCGCCAGGGCTCCTTCAGCCTCAAGGTTGAGGCTACATTCCTTCCTCACCTTGGGCTTGAGAGGAACTTAAAGTCCTGTACCTAAGGACCTTACTGCCTGAAGCTCATAAAGCCCAGCCCAGCCCAGCCACACTGGCCTCCCGGCCTCCCTGCTCTGGTGGCCCCTCTCGGCCTCCTCTGTTGGCCATGAGTGCCAAGGACAGGTCTCACTCTGCACCCTCAGCACCCGTCCCAGAGCCTGGCACAGAAACCTGGCACAGCCCTCCTTCACAGACCAAATGTCTTCTGAGCAGGCACTCGGCACTGGCTGCTGGGGATACGATATCTGCACCCAACGAGAGGCAAACAGGCCTTAGCCAGTCCATCGCAAATGTAGTATGTTGTAAAAGAACCTTTGTTGAGTGCATGGCCAAAGGAAATATTCAGAAGCACCAAGTAAGAAAGCAGCTGTGCCTCAGGTCCCCTCTGAGTCGCGAAGGCGAGCCACGCTGGCCCCCGGGACGGTGGCCTGTCCTCGGGGCCCCTCTCCCTCGGCCTGAGCTCGGCTGCTTCAGCGGACTGGCTGCCCAGCCCCAGAGTGGCCACATTTCTGGATCTTGCCAACAAGATGCAAACAGCAGTGCCATAAAGGTGGGTTCTGCCCCTGTCCTGTCACTGGGCAGGACGTAGGAGTGCCAGCTGCCGCCTTAGACGTGGAGGACGAGGCCGCTGGGATGCTGGCCGGTGTCCAGAGCCGCGGGTCCTGCCAGCGCCATGGAGCGGCCCAGGGCCAGCTCTGGCCTGACCTCTAGGCCTATTTCACGTGCAAGCGAAAGAAATGTGGATCTAGTTTAAGGCTCTTTTTCCTGTTCCCACTGCTGAATGGAAATCAAGTGCAAATGCCAGCTGATTTTAGCACCAGCTACAAAAAGGAAATCATGAAAAATCGGCCATTGAAACAAAAATGTGTTCTAAGCCAAGTATCAAAGGCTTTTGCAGAATACAGCTAATAAAGGAACCAGAAAAGAAAGAAAAATTAAGCAATGAGATATCGACCTTATTTTACCTATTAATGTTCTTTTAAGTATTTTATTTTTTTAAAATGTTTTTATTGATTTCAGAGAGGAAGGGAGAGGGAGAGATAGAAACATCAATGGTGAGAGAGAATCCTTGATCAGCTGCCTCCTGCACACTCCCACAACCCGGCCATGTGTCCTGACCAGGAATTGAACTATGACCTGGTTCACAGGTCAATGCTCAACCACTGAGCCATGCCGGCCGGGACTTGCCTATTAGTTTTTAAAAATATATATATATGTGGTTGCTGCAAAGGGGTCTGCTCACTGGGTGACATGTGAATGAGCATTGGGAAGAGAAATTTGGTGATATGTACCAAGGTCAGGGGCCGGGATCCTGTTACAGAAGACTGGGAAAAAACCAAGCAATGCTTAGAGAAATGGAGTTACACTTTATTATTATTATTATTATTATTATTATTATTATTATTATTATGCATGGGCCCAGAGAAAAATGTCTTTCAACTTTCTGGGCAAAAACATGGTGGAAGCTTTTTCTATTAGTACTTTTTCCAGTTCTTTGTCTCCCAAATAAGGGTGTTTTCGGTCCCCTTTGCAAGTTCTTTAAGAGACCTATGTGCTGTGGCCTTGAGAAATCAAAGGCCTGGCCTGACCCAGCATTGATAACTCTGCCCGGGGATGGCTTATGGCCTCTCTAAGATGGGAGTAAACAGGTCTTGCAGGCCCAGGCAATTAAAGGGGCAGGTTAATGGCACAGATTCAGATTGCTAGACCCCAAAAATGTCTCATTTTTGCCATCGTTCCCAGTCTGGAAATACTGTGGGAAGGACACTGACTTTGAAAAAGTTATCTGTGGACATTGCTGGCAACCCAGCCTGGGAAACCTTTCCCCAACTTTGTGGTTTCCCCCTAATTGGAATGTGGGGTGCTTGCTCTCCCAGGCTTTCTTTAAGTTTGGTGGCTGGCACTTGACCTTGGTTTAGCCAGTCAAATGCCTTGCCCTCGGTTTCATTTTGGGAGGTGTTGGTTAGAGAAGCAGGGGCGTGAAAAATCCATGCTTCTGGAGCGTCTGGGGTCTAGGGCCTAGGGCTGGTTGGGGGTGACTTTGCAAGTGCTGGCTTTGGCTCAGGCCTGAGCTTGGCTCTGAGCCCTCCTGGCGATGGGTTGGTTGTGCTCATTCTCCCAGTCACACAGGTGATGCTCACCAGCTCGGACTCCGCTGGGAGGCTTTTGGGGGCACCCCTTCCTGTTGGCCTTGCTTGGGTCCCTTGCCTCCCCCTCCCTGCACCTTGCTCTGACCTGCTCTGTGCCCAGGGCATCACTCGGCTCCCAGGGCCCAGCTTTTGGCTGGATGTGGCCACTGGGAGGCCCTGGCCAGAGGTGGGAGAGGAGAGAGGCTAGGGTGGTTCTCACTAGCTCCCGACCTACCCAGTCTGCAGCTTTGGTGATGGCTGGGCCTCCCCATTATAGCGGCTGCTGTCACCCCTCACTGGCCTCTTCCCTTCCCCCTGCTCGTCCCAGGGTGCCTCACACTGGGCTGGGTTCCTTGATGCCCACACTCACTAGTCCCTTCATCAAAGTGTCTTAAAAACAAACAGAACAGCTGAGTCTGCCTTCCTTTCCTGCCAAGGTCATTGGTTTTGTTCCAAAAGCCCAGAAGCCCGGAGTGGCCAAGGACAGACCCGGCTCCTCCTCCAGTGAGGGGGAGGAGGCCCGGCAGGGACTTGGGGGGCTCCCAGGAGGGAGAGCACTCGAGGGGAGAGGTGTGTCCCCAGCCCTGCTAGTGAGGGGCTCCAGAGGGGCTGTCCTGCCCGATGGAGACGGGCTGAGCCCCGAAGCCGCCCTCCGAGGCTGCTCCTGCGGAGTGGAGGGGCGTGGAGACGCGGGGAGCGCGCTCCCGGTGGTGGGGCCGCAGTGTGTGCAGTCCGGCCGGCTCAGGCAGACAGGGCCAGGGCCTCTCCAGCACTCTCCCTGGTTAAATGCCTGCTCCTGGTTTGTCAGGATTGGGAGGAGGTTCTGGGACCTGTTGGGGTCTGTGTGGGCCCAGCGGTGCCTCCCTGTGGCTGCGGTGTGTTCTGTGAACAGACCAGAACAGACCAGAGCACCTGTGACAGCAGCACAGCCCGATGGAGGTGCTCACCAAACAAGCAAAACAGAAAGGGCAGAGCAGGGCTATGTGAGGAGGGGGGGGAGGAGGGGGAAGAGGGGGTGAAGGAGGGAGAAAAGAGGGGGAGGGGGAAGAGGAGGAGGAGGGGGAGGGGAGACCCTAAGGGAGGGAGGCCCTATAGGAGGGAGAGAGGGAGGCCCTAAAAGAGGGAGGGAGGGAGGGAGCTGTGAGGACATTTGGGTGAAGAGCAGTTTACTCAGGCCCCAGGCGGCAGTGCCCACATGTTGGAGGGACTCTGAGCCATTGGGGTGCGGAGCAGCAGGACAAGGGACACAGCGGAGACTCGGAGAGGAGTGGAGCCAAGTCTTTGGGGCCTTGTGACGTGGGAAGGGCTTTGTTGGAGTTGTGAAAGGTGGAGGAAGGTGGTGAGGAGTCTGAGGTCATGCGTGGCTGGATCAATCTGGCTGCACCAAGACTAAAACCTGGGCCGGAACCAGTTTGGCTCAGTGGACAGAGCGTCGGCCTGCGGACTGAAAGGTCCCAGGTCGATTCGGGTCAAAGGCATGTACCTTGGTTGTGGGCACATCCCCAGTAGTGGGTGTGCAAGAGGTAGCTGATTGATGTTTCTCTCTCATCGATGTTTCTAACTCTCTATCCCTCTCTCTTCCTCTCTGTAAAAAATCAATAAAAATAAAAAATATATATTAAAAAAATAAGACTAAAACCTGGCTCCTGCCTGAGGTAGCACCAAGAGCAGGTTCTTCCTTTTCCTGCTGAGACGGATGGTTATGAGCCAAAGAAGAGCCTGACCAGGATGAGAAAGTCCAAAGTCAGCTTTAATGCTCCCCCCCACCCCCCACTGCCGGCCTTGGAGGGCACACAGGCAGGCACTTGCCCAGGGCCAGCCAGGCAGGGGCCAGGCGAGTGTGGAGGGGTGTGCCATCCAGGCTGCCTGTGGGCCCCGAGGCCCCGGGTCTCCCTGATCCAGCCTGGCATTGCCACCCCAGTGTCCTGTGGCCTCTGAGGTCTTCCCTGGCTGGCCGGGGTGATCTTGGCTCTTAAGGAGAATGGTCATGCCCGTTGGGGCTGGGACCTCT